TGTACAGCTTAATAGGTAGTTCAGGTAGACGTGAATATGAGAAAGATAAGCATTAGGACAAGATTGCACACCCACCACCTAAAATAGAGACTTAGAATGCAAGCACGCGGTTAGTAAATCGAATGCAGCGTACCAACAAACGCTACACCGGTTCTGCCTACGTTCACTGCAGGACCCTTCGTCGCTTCTGTGGTGGTCCCGAGTGCCCTCGCTCATGGCTCACCAGGCCTGCATAACTCAGGCACTAGCAACCGCATGTGCTACAGCACCATGCGCTCGATGTCGATGGAGTACAACCCATCGGCGCTTGCCGCTTCCGCACTTGCCGCTTCTTCTCTGCATGTATGAGGTCTTTCTCCCACACTTCGGCAACTGCCTTCGTGATCAGATCGCGCCATGCACGCAGATCAACCGACTTCTATTCCCATGAACTGCAATTAAGATTAGAAAGTGGGAGGCTCACTTTGATCATATCCTGGTAACGTAACTTTGGTTTCCCCGTATGCCGCTTCCCAAAACTCAGCTGACCATATAATAATCGTTTCGGTATCCGCGTTGAATCCATACGCCACACATGACCGAGCCACCTCAGGTGTCTCGGGAAAAGTATGCAGTCACTGCATACATTCCACTTCGACACAACGCTTTCGTGATCGCAACTCTGTCACGCCATCAGGTGCGCAGAATGCGTCGCAAACAGTGCTGATGGAGCCGCTCGAGATATCGCACATGCCGCCGGTACATCGTCCATGTTTCACTGCCGTTTAGAAAACGGACAGCACCATGGATCTGTACACTGTCAGCTTCGTGCCAATGGTAAGCTTATGGTTGTACCACACTCGGTACTCAAGCTTCCCGAATGCCGCCGCTGCCTTCGAGACGCAGATGCGCAGCTCACTGTGTAGCTGCTGGTCAGTCGACATCACACTCCGAAGGTAGCAGAAGCGGGAGGTGGTTTCCAATACTTCAGCACCAATGCTGATTCGCGGCAATATGGCAGACTGTACCTCTGGTGAAGGCTGAAAGAGACAGACAGTTTTGCTTGTGTTGTTGGTGAGACCGAATTTGGGCGCTGTTGAAGCCAGAGCATTATCCATGTGCTGCAACTCACCCGCGCTGTGTGCAAACCACGCATAGTCATCAGCGAACAGCAACATACGGATAGTTGTCTCACAGACTAGGGTTCTCGCACTGAAACGACGTGTGTTCAGGAACCCATCAATACGATGCGCCTCACGAACACCATAAGCACAAGCGGCATCACAAGCACAAGACATCATGGCATGAAGATAAACATTAAACAGGACAGGTGCTAAGACACAGCCTTGCTTCACACCAGACATAAATGCAAATTCATCCGAGTTCTGTCCACTCACCTGCACCCTCGCCTGCATGCCACTGTGCAGACATGCACTTAAACTTACAAACTTGCTCGGTCAATCAAACTTTACCCGATACCAGCCACAATTCCTCGCGCTTCATCATGTCGAATACCTTGGTGAAGTCTATAAACTGCGAGCACAATGAATAGTGTCACTCACTGTATTACTCCTGCAGCTGACGAACCGCCAACACCAGATCTATAGTGCTGAGGCTCGAGTGGAATTCACACTGCTCTTCCGCACTTTAGGTTCCACAACCTGACTGACGAGGTGGTTGAGCAGGATTCGGGCAATCACCTTGTCTACACAACTCAGCAAATTAATGGCACGATAATTCGTACAGCATTGCTTGCTCCCTTTGCCCGTGTACAGTGGTAGCGTCCAGGTTGCTATATCACTCGCACTCAGTGCAAGCCGTGTGTTCGTGATCGTCAGGACGTGAGTGGCACACGGTGAGAGCAGCCTGTCACCGTTCGCATTCACTGAACAAATGCCATGCAGACCGATAACGTCTGTCCATACCGATGCATCACGCCCAACACGCGCGTTGAAATCACCCAGCAGAAATAGTCGGTCGCTCCTCGGCACAGACCGTATCACGGAGGATAGCTCAGTGTAGAATTGATCATGCATGTCATCAGGATAACACAAGGTCGGACCGTACGTACTTATAAATGTGGCTAACTTACCTCTTTCGAGTCGTAGGCGAACAGTCATCAATCGCGCGCTGATGCCTGTTGGTTCGCCCACCAGCTAGCCATGGAGGCGATCGGATATTTTAAATCCGACCCCATGATCACATGGTGCTGAGGCGGCGTTGCCCACCCAGTAGAATGTGTAGCCAGCACCTGCTTCATGCAACTTACCTTGCTCAGCGAGTCGGGTTTCACTGAACGCCGCAATATCGATGGAGTAGCGTGCCACTTCCATCGCGACCAGTGCAGTGCGTCGCTCCAGGCGCTTACTCGAGTTCCGGTCCAGTAGTGTGCGCACGCTCCAACACCCGATACTAAGTGCTTTGCGCGCAGGTATACGATTGTATTGGTAGAAAATAGCACGCGAGGTGGTGGATGTGCTTCGGAGGTTTGCTTGGGGGACTCCACCCGAAACTTTTGACTCAATAACCTGGCCCAAATGGCAGTGCGTGATTGGTAGGTTTGCTTGAGGGATTCCGGCCGGAGCCATTGGCTCAACAGCCTGACCCACAAGGCAGTGGGAAACAGATCCATCTCGGGAATGTGATTACAGAGACAGATTGGGATCTGCTTGAAGGCAGTCACACGCAGTCTTTCAGGTACTGGAACCATTCATATATGTTTTGCGACCGTAGTAGGATACGCACCTGCGGCCACGGCCAGGCGCAGGTGAGTTTTGGCAGGTTTGCACCAATTTGACCAGAGGCTGTCTGGCTTGAGGCGGCCAGTAGCAAACCATTGAATACCTGGAGGTACCCTCCCACCGTCAGAGGCAATGCGTGGCGCTCGTGCTCTACGCCAATCGAACTGTGAGCTTATAACCCGTAGTTCTGTTGTCTCTCATGGCTAGGTTTTACGGGAAAAGTGCCATTGAGCAGTTCCTAACCTCCGAAGAGGATGGATTAGGATACTGGCAAGGCGCCTATACCTAACATGAGAACGAATTGAGTCCTCAGCCAAACCCTTCGATTAAAGGTACACCCGAAAGGCAGCGGGTCAAGCACATGGTCAGTTCACTGACTCATGCGGATTGGTGTCCTGGATCTTAGCAGGGAGAAGGGCGTAGCCCAACTCCCACCCAGCGGTCGCCACGGGGAGGCGTCCAGGACATGAGCCAATGGCACAACAGTAGCAGCAGTGGGTAGACCATCTGTCAGGATCCAGCCAGCACAAGCTTCAGCGCACCATAGGCTCTCCAACCACCTACAATCGTATACGAGTCTATTAACAGCTCACTACGTTGGATGAGTCTAGTGACGTTCGCTTAAAGTCGTTTATACGCATCGAGTAGAAGGTTACACAGTTCGGGCCGATTACGAAGCCATGAAGCCTGGTCGACGTACATGGCGGAATCCCTGCCAACCAGGAGACGCACCCAAGCGGGACGAACGTGACCTTACGACCGCAGAATCGCACAATAGAACAGAGAGAAACGGAGGAAGAGACAGTCCCATCGAATGATAACTTTTATTGCACCAGCAAAAGATAATACAGGTCGGGACACCCTGCGTCGGGTATGAGTTTTGGCGAGACGAGGTTGCTCATAAAACATGCTGCGGTGTGGTTTGAAAGTCGCGTGGTCACATAATGAGTGACACTCAGTGTAGCTATTTGATTACCGATGCGACTGTTTGGGGTGCGTGCTGGGGGTGCGTATTTTTACGGAATCACTTGACGTTTCCGCAACTGAGCCCATACGGCAACTCACCAAAACTAAAGTTTTTGATGTCGTCAACGCCCAAATACGGCAATGACGAGCCACAGGCTATCGCGGATGCGTGTCTAAGCAGAGGTGTCATACTTCCTACATACTTAGGTGGAACAAAGTGGTGAATTACCATTCGTGTCTTTCAAGAAGACGAACACAGTTAGCGTGTGTGCATGTAGACTTTTCTCCCCAACCGCATCCTTCGCGAAACTGATAATCAGTGTAAGATACACAGCGTTAGCGAAAATCTTAAAGCGGATGTAGCACAAATGGTTTTTAATGTCATCGCGATGGAGGCGGGTCTGTGATGCTTGGTAAAAATTGTACTATTCTAAGATGAAGATCCTCTGGGCATCTTTCCTTCCACCGATCAGTCCACAAAGCTCAACACATTCCGACAGCACGGGTGAAATAAGCAAGCTATGTAGCAGTAGGTTGAACAGCATGTAGCTTGCGCTGAAGTGCTTGAGGCGCGGGGATAAGCCTCGCGTGCAAAGTAGACTACAGGTGAAGCAACCGTGTGAAGTGATTACACACAGGATGCTTATACCTTGTGTACATACAAGACAGAATGTTGTATTTTGGTTATGGCCCAATTTTGTAACGGAATAAAAAGGGTACATAGATTTGCAATTGATAACAGGAAAATTGGTTGCGGTCAGCTGAAACGAAACCACTACCTGCTTGCGCATTCAGCAGCGAGCAAACCATTCCTTTTTCAGAGAGTTACTACGAGTGCGAAAAAGGACAGTAACCTTTCCACGGATTCAGCGCCCCACGGCGATCGGTAGCAGCTGGCACAAGCGCAGTTCACCGTGCACCCCGATACATGCTACAATAAAGTCACTCACGAATAGTCTGACCACAAGCGAGTAATGCCTTAAGCAGACTTGTAAAAAGCGGCCGATAGGCTTCAAACTTGAAATGGAATTATTAACACGTAAGTCCAACCAGGCGGATACCAGGTAACGAGAAACACTGAAATGTCGGTTCATCTTTGCAGGATTTACAGGCAGTATTTGCTCTCGATTCAATACAGAAGTGATCAAACTCAAGAACGCTCCCGGAATGTAATGGACGGGTGCTGTGCTCTAGTAAATACCTACCTAGTTACCGGAAAGGAAAGGGACCCAGCTGGTACCAAGAATACCGGATTAAAAAGAAAACGTTTGTCAAAAATTAAATCAATAAAAGAAGTCTGCAAATGATACCTACCGCGGCCAATCAGCCGGCCTCTATTCCAAGTAAAGGGAAAGTGACGCTGACCCAAAGTTACTTGTAACGGTTCGGGTTTCATCGAGTCCCCGGCCTCTTCCACATGGTGGGACGCATTTGTGCCTTGGTTGGTAGGCTCCTTGGTTTCCGAAGTCTCCTGAGAGGCTAGGGAGCGGCCAATCATTCCGGATCGGCGCAACCGTGCGTCTCGGTTAGCTTCAAGTTGTGCAATCGACTTTGTTCTAGTTGAAGCTCGAGGCTGATGGGCCGAGGCTTCTGAAACTGCACAACAGGTGAACGAGGAGTGTGAGATGTTACAATGCTGTGCCCGAAAACCGTAAAAATAGTTCAATACTCTGTGAAAAAATGCTGTGGCAGAAGTTACATGAAATTCACCTCCTAGACAAAAATGTATGCGAACCAGCTGCTAGCTTTTTAAAACATTATAATACAAGGATGTAGTGGGTGGATGAACGGGTCTAGTAGGAAAAAGTGAAGTCAACCGATGACTTGGTCAAGAGGAATAAAGTCCCTAACTTCGGTTGGAGCCTTTCGATGCCCTGGTTGGGTGTCCGAAAGACGATGAACACGTTTAGTTGGACAAACTTGATGACTTGGCGAAAAGCCGACATCAGTGACCATTGTGTTGTGAGTTTCTTTGTCCCATCCTATCACATGGACTGCGAAGCGCAATCCATTCACACAACGAGTACTTCAATATGATCTCTCCAATCAGTCATTATCAGTTGTGACAAGTGTTCCCTGCTGCGACTCGGTGGGTTAGAGTACAGGTTCCGGCTGACATCCCTTAAGATCCGGGATTCGAATGTATGCTTACTCTACCACATGATAGCAAACAAGATTGAAACGCATAGTGCAGTGTAGGGTTTTCAGGAGAGCAACACCAAATAAGCAAAGTACGATGATACTTTTGTTTTGTTTTGTTCTCTTTTCTTGATACCACCTGAATAAATTGTATTGTGACACAATAGCTAAGATGTTTCGCATTTCCAGCCAATGTGTAGCATGAGAAATGACAATGTTAAGAGCAACGATCGAATAGACCAGCATGATGGATCTGTCAACTGAACAGCATAACGGTTAGCCGAACACAGTAAAAGCATGCAGGTGAGATGAAATTCATCGTGTTAAGAAGGAAAAGCAGGTCAGAGCGCCAAACGAGGCGCTCACCGAGGAGGCAGCAGAGACTGAAAGTTCACCGGAGAAAACAAGCTGATCATTGCGATCGAGGAGTGTAGTGAACAGTAGCAGGCAAGTAAACGTAACTGGGTATCGTCGAGCATAAGGGGGATGCGTCAATTATGCTTGATGGGGGTTCGAGTTTGGCATTGTGCAAACCGAGTGTGATGATTGCTAAGAAATGGGGCGAAGTGAACCGTTGCAGTGTCGATGGGCCGGGAACTATACAGGAGTCACCGACAAGAAATGAGCGCTCACGACTGGTCCGGCCTAGCGCAAATGAAAGACAGCTTGCCTACGGACAGCTGAGAAGCGAACTGATCCACATAGAAGCGAGCGGATGACATACGCCTGATTCTAAGTCAACATCACGCATCATTGTGGTAGCCCGCCAGCTGAGGGAGCATCGGCCAAGTGGACGTATGGCCAATTAGACACCACCCATGAGACTCGATCGTGCAGTCTATCTGGAATGGCAGCAATGAAGCCCAACGATACATGAGAAGTAATAAGGGGCAGCTAGTGATACGGACCATAGCAGAATAGTGATCTTGAACGAACGTGTGTGCTAATCCGACATTTGTGCACCAGTGATTTTTCGCTGTTTCTCAACCGCATTTTGTCACACACCATTGGATATATACTTATTTGTCTTGCTTTTACAAGCAGTACCTCGTGATACTATTTGCTCGAGTACACTACAGTGAATGATACATTGACTATAATTATAAATTCCGGGATGTGTTTCACCGATATCCAAGCGACAAAAGTTGCGTAACTCCGACAACCAGAGACATTGTTTGGTCTCACTCGATAGAACACTTCAAGGGCTTTCGAAGGAACTGTCAATCGTTCACGTTCAACATTCTTTGAAGCTGCTACAGGTCTCTGGGTAAGTTCACCTTTGTGCGATTCAAAGGTCCAACCATGAAGCTGCCGTTACACGCTCGTGTGATCTACTTCATGGGCACGCTGACACATTCCACTGGCACGCCAGACAGAACATTTGCGATCACACAATTTGCCCTTTATATACAAAATCTCAGAACTCGTTCATTAAAACAATACTAAAGTGTTCTCGGAAACTAGAAGAAAAATTAAGGTATTAAGCTGTTGCACAAATTTTAAATGTTAGTTAATGGTGTTTTCACATCAATATGGTTATAAAAAGCCCTTATTCTTATGTCCGTTTAAAATACAGACTGGTGGAACATTACCATCACACAAGTGCGGGTTGAACGTTGTGAGCTTGGCATCAGCGTCAGAAACAAGTGAACAACCGCTAACCATCAAGGGTGAATCAGTCGAATGGTTCCTAGCATTCGCTCAACGAGCGCGATATTTAGTCCAAAGACACGTGTGGATCATGTGCCAAAGTTGCCAAAGTGCGAGTTCTGTGCCGCAATTGTTGCAAGATTTTCCCTGCGAAATGGGTCCGATTGAAAGTCAGCAAGGCCGTTATTAAACAAACCAGATTATCCATGGTTCTGCATGGAAGGTATATCTGTCCCACTGATCAATCGCTTGCTCCATATAATCTCAGAAGTACTATCAGCCACTAGCCAAAAGCACCACAGCTGGGGTAAGCATAGCCGACTATGCAACACAAGCCTCCTCAGCAAGTGCTTTTCCAATCCTGAGGAAAACGGAAAATCAAATGCTGTTCCAATACCACAGGCGGTTCATATTCGACTAATGCGGTTCACAGTTCGATCGGAGTAACCACATGTAAGGCTTTGTCCACTCTCCCGATCGAGTGCATAGAAAGAGAGCAAGACGGTACGAGTAAAAGTTGGGTTACAGTTGCATCCAAGATGGGCGACATTTGAAATTAACAGGACCATCCACTAGCTCGGAATATGAGGAATGAAGCATTGTTCTCCTGATGCAAGCACCACCGGTTTACTGTGGTACATACCCGAGTGTTTCGATCTCTACCTGTGGCATTTCGAAAGATGCAATGAAACCTCAACCTGTACCGGGCGTACTGGAATCCACTGTCTCAGAATCAAAGTCGATGTCAATCAGAGGCAGATAGTTGGGCGACATCAAGCAGTAGAACGTCAATGGTAACCTGGCTGGCTTGCCGAACAACCTCCTCGTGGTGCCAGCTGGGTGGTTCGGGATTTTCCCGTTTTAGCAAATGGTTCGGCGGCAGTGTTTCAGGACGTGGTGGGTTTTCGCCTAGCAAGCGTTCTTCCTATAAAAAGCCACATATGTCCGTTGAACAACACTGTGACGTAGCGAACATGATTCGCCACTAAATAAAGTCACTGCACCTTGCTTCATCCTGGCGAGGCATTGTATTCCAGCAAATTTATGCTGTAATTCTGGGGAACATAGAGTCCCTGTTTGACAAAGGAACAAAGGAAAGGCGTGTGAACTGAGCAATCAGTCACCGGCTCCCAGCGGGCGCGAATCCTTGAATTCGTTCCGCTGCCTTGCGGGCAGGCTATTCAGCCAAAGGCTCGGTGTGGTGCCCATAAGTCAACACTCTACTTCGGCTTGGGCAACTGGGTAGTATCTCGCCCTCTGACGAAACCATGGACTTTAATGTGTTGTATTTTGTTTACTTTTGGTGTACCTTCTTTTGGGTTCCATGGTTTCTGATGGCTCTGTGTCTATTCGTAGACTGTTGCAAATATATATATATATATATATATATATATATATATATATATATATATATATATATATATAACCTATTCGACGAGGCATTTAAATCTGTACACGTAGTGCAAATCACGCGGCACCCCAACTCTAAGCGTTATGGAGAGCAAAGAATTCTGCGCGTTGCACTGAACCCCACCACAGAAGTCGAATCAGTTCTGTCGTAGACAGGTAGTCTCACAAATGAACACTGTTCCATCCGCATCATTCCAGATATTCCATGGGGCGAGCGTCATCGAATTAACCGCAGTTTAGAAGGCCAGCGGAAGGAAACTTTACCAGAACTACTACACCATTTCCCGGCCAGGTTGTCCTCTTGGGCAACAGAAATAATCTGAGGGGGCATTCAACATGAGTCTACTCAATTAATTTGTTCCGTGCGTATGAGCTGAAGCGTCCCACCTGCACCCCTATGACTTAGTGCGTCTGAGGTCCAATTGGCTGAAAGCGACGGGCTATACACGCACACTTACACACCTGCACAAGTGACTGGCGTAATCACGGAACAAATTAATTGAGTAGACTCATGTTGAATGCCTCCTCAGATTATTTCTGTTGCCCAAGAGGACAACTTGGCCGGGAAATGGTATAGTGTCTACGGCGTTCCTGGAACTGAAGCATGCGATGATCATGAAATAACAGCTCATGAACAATGAACAATGGTGTTATATTCTTAAAACGCTCTCCTTGGGTGACGTGCTAGCGAAATGGGTGTCACGGCTACGCACCTCGCTGAATTACCAACTATGTGGCCCGAGAGTGCTGAAAGTGGAACTACATTCAATACAAATGGTAGCAAGGCTGATAACAAGCTGATGCATGTTTCGTTGTAGACTACCATCAGAGCTTCGGGTGAAGGGAGCGAGCGATATGCCTTCCAGAGATGATATGTCACCCAAAGAACCAAACGGGATAGGAACTATATAAGAACAGGGCGCAAGTAGTGTGTTTGATCAACCCATACAACCTATTTATGAGATGAATGACCAGACACCTTAAGCTGTACGTAGAAGGTTAGATTTGGGAAACTACGTAGCCGATGAATATGACGTTGAACCAGTCACCAAGTACGTGCAAAAAAACGATTAGCCACCGACCATTCATTGGGCGGCGAAACTTGATGAATAGCATAATCCACAACACTGCTGAAATTTGAGAAAATTTCATGTATGTTCATGTACGTATTTTCATGTACGCCAAAGAGCTCCTCAGTAAACTTACCGAACTTCGGGTACGCCAGGTCGCGACTGCATGGGACCTAATTTCCGTTCCCGAAACCTGGTTACACCAAGAAGTTAATGATACTGAGGTTGAGATAGCAGGAATATTACTCATCCGGAACAACCGTCCCAGCAGAGGAGGTGGGGTCCCTTTCTACTACCGCAGTGACCTGCAATGTGCAATAGTTGATGACCTGAAACACATGCTACTGACTCATTCTGGGGTCATCTCCGACTAAGATATAACAACGCACGTCTCGTAGCTGCCTTTTAACACCCTTCAAATTCCACTCCGAAAATGGATTCTAGCTTGATACGTGCCTTGAACAAGGTAACACGCACTAGGTACAGCCCCATTCTCATCGCCGATGACGCCAATGTACATGACCTGGAAGTATCGGCATCTTCCACGGAACAATTCAGAGCAAACTTGCATGCACTTATCGCTAATACTCCCTTGTACATTCACGTCACCACGCCCACTAGATTTAGGACATCAAGCAAACCGTCCATCCTCGACATTGTGCTCACAAGTGAAGAGCTCATGATCGACAAGTTACCGATGTAGAGTCCACTAGGTCCCAGCGACCATGTAGTACTAACGCTTAACAATGTTCGCTACGTAGAGTATTCATCTGAACACTCGGAACTAACTCATACAATTACAGTCTAGCAGGTTCTGAAAGAATTCGTCGAGGCATCCGCTCGTGAGTTCTCGAACAACAGTCCCTTTGAAAACGTTTGGACAGAGTTCTTTGAAAGGTTAAGTGACATTGTCAACTGAGCACCAGAGACCAAACCCTTCGTACCGCAAATGTGAAGTCAAATCTAAGAAGCAGGACTAAAAATTGCATGGCAAAAACAGGATGCATCATCGAGAGCCTACAAGGTTAAACCAGACTCAGAGACTTGGGGCAACTTCCTGACCCATCGCAATTATGGCACTGCACTTGTCCGAGGACAAAGTAACTTATCAACAGTGCCTAGCCAAAAAGTTGACGGCAAACAACAAACTACTGTATGGGCATGTCAATAGTATTCATGAAGTAAAGCATGGCATCCCTCCACTTTCACGACAGGTGGTGGGGCACAAAGCGCCTACGAAGCAGCCAATGCCTTGCGGCTACAATACGCCCCAATTATCGAACTCGCAGACACTACCTGTCACATGGCGTCACGCACCTTACCGACTCCACGGTTTATGCATTTAATGTTGAACCCAGCAACTGTGCTAAGGAAGTTACTCTCATTGCGTGATCATTGCTCTCTGGGAGCAGACAACATCCGCCCGAAAGCACTGAAGGCTACGGCAACTAAGCTAGCCGAGCCACTGTTACAGTTGTTCCAAAGATGCCTCGATGAACGAGTCCCCACTATGTGGAAGCATGGCATTATTACTCCAATTTTTAATGGCGGTAGCCGTTCAGAACCTGCAAACTGTCGCCCAGTGATTCTCTTCCCTGTACTTGCGAACGCGATGGAAGCGGTCGTCGTTAAGGCTCTAATGGACTACCTGAAAAAATGCAACGTCTTTGGCACCGGAGAAGTATGGATTCCCACAACATCGGTCATGCACTACCAACCTGTTGATTGCACGAGCTAGTTGGACGAAAGTGGCTGATGATGATGTCAAAGTGAACGTCATCTATCTGAAGTTCTACAAAGCGTTCGACCGCCCGGATCACCGCATCCTATTTCAGAAGCTACAGAGCTACGGAATCCGAGATCCTGTTTTTGTTTGCATTGGCAACTTTCTTCACCGACGGAGTCTACAAATGCGTGTTGGGGGATCACTTCCCAACCCGACTGAGGTAGAGCGTGGTGTTCCACATGGTTCGGTACTTAGATCGCGCTTATTCCTGGTGCTTATCAAGGACCTGGTAAAGGCTATCGCCTACGAGTTCCCGCTTTACGCCGATGATGTCAAGAGAGTAACTAATAACAAGGAAGACCATGATTGTCTCTAACATTATCTGCATATCATTTATGAATGGCTAACGAGAAACCTACTCTAGATCAACACAGTTAAGTGCAAGGTGATCCACCTGCGTCACTGGCCAGTGAGCGTGTATAAGCTTGATCACACCTTGCATTAGACCCCTCAGTAGCGTGATTAGGGTGTACTGGTAAAGGAAGATCTCGAGTATTCAAAACAAACGGAGAAGGCGTCGAGAACAGACAATCAACACTTCCTCCTTCTTCACAGTGCGTTCGGTCGGTTTGAAACCTCAATTTTCCCCCAAATGCTAAACACCTACGTGCGACCACACGTGAAATATGCTATCCAGGTGTGGAAGCTTTGGCAGCAACAGGATCTCGTGGTTCTCGAGACTCCTCAACAAAGGGCAACCAAGTAGGTCAGGGGCCTCTTTCATCTGCCTTATCAGCCTATACTGAGATCTCGAAGAATATACAGTAGTCGATATCGGTGTTTGGGGAGATCTCATAATGGTTTACCAGATCCTGAAAAATCTAAACAACATTTGTCGCCCGCTGCTGGGACTGAACCACAACACCAACCTAAGAGGTCATCCTTTGAAACTGACAATACAGTAAAGTCGGCTAGAAAGCCATAGAAATTGCTCATCCCTCCTGTTGTGTCAGCCGTGGAGAGCTCTCCAAACTTATGCCGTTCATGACTCCAATCTAACGATATTTAAAAAAGGACTTGACGATATGTAGTCCCATCGGCATTTCATTTTATAACTGTGTTAGCCAGGGGTTTACAAAATGCAACCAAACGGTGTGTTTCCAAAATCCCCACCAAGGGATTTATGGATTTATACGTTTATCACGCGAATATCACAGCTCATGTACAAATGCCTATGGGTGGCCCCCAAAAAGCTTTTTACCTCATCATGAGCTTTTATTTTCTCCATGATTTCCTTCCCACGGGACTTGTCAAACATTGCTTTTTTACACATAGTACACCATTGTTCCATTAAGTTATGCACTCTAGAAATAACCATGAAGCTTCTTAACGACGATTTCGTAGTCTCGGTTGAGACTGTTTTTCGTTCCTGGATTCCTACTCGACATCGACACCGACATGTGGAACACCTGTGCACACACACAGGTAAGTTGAGCTAGAGGTGCTGTCACGAAGCAGACCAAAATACATGATTAAGTGTAGGAACGTCCCTCCACCTCGTACACAAGCGACCGAGTTTCCGATAATGCAATGTCGCTAGATGAAAATGACTGGAACCGTATCGAGGACCAATTGCACGCGAAACCGTTGTGCCGCCATCTGTGCGGTTGGCTTTACAGATACACGTGAGAGCCACTGAACCCGACTGAAGCATGAGGATTATGCGCTACCGGTGTTGCTGGGACAAGGAAGAGTCACCGGGCTTCCCAGAATTGCGTCGATAGTCCCCATTCTGCGAATAACGGTGTAACCAGGTTCAAGGGTCCACCGAAATTTTCCAACAAATTCGCAAAAAGGACAGCCAGGCATGGTATGCATGGCGGATGTTTGTGGTGACCAAAAAAGTGAGGTCGCAGAGAAACAGATGTGAGAGTAAATGTAAATTTTCACTACCCAGCCACATGGTGTGCATTTCGGTCTTGTCCGGAACAACCATCGCTACAAAGAATCGGTGATGTACGGATGCCACGTATCGGATAACGAAGTACTCAAGTAACCAATTAATTACATGTTGCGTTTTTGTAACAAAATCTCTGTACACAACGCTGAATATTCCTTACTTACCATCAGACGATGGGTAGTGTTGACAATAAAATGAACAGTTATGTTTTCAATCAAGGAGAGGCTGCATTTTATACTTGGAAGGGTGGAAAACGAGTCTATCGAGGAAAAGAACTGGTAATCAATAAGACCACTTTACGAAACATGTGGTTTAGTAACGTCTACGCTTCGACTAGTTGAAATAGGCCCTCAAAGTGGACGCAAAGCGGTAACGGATGTCAGAAACAAGAAATTCGTGGGCATTCAACGCATCCGGAGGCACAATGTCCGTAAGCGTGGAGGTGCGTGCGGCTACTATGGGGAAACCCAGTGGGACAATGAAATGCTGAGTGGACACTAATGGGACGGTGTGCACTGATAAACGGGCGGTACGACCGCTGGTAGCCTGGCGTCCAGATCTAGTTGCCTTCCGTAGACTGTGACGAGAACAACTCTAGCAGCGGCCCTTCCACTGTGGACGAACCATATGTGTATCATAACTTCTGTCAAGCGGTGTCGCTTATTATCATGTTCACATACAAAAGCGTAACCCATCACACAAGGAGAAGCAAGAACTCACATGTCAATTGTTAGCCGAGCAAACATAGCGAATACCTGCGCAGGGCTGTACAACGCGGAGCCAGGCTGAAGGCATGGACGGGCCGGTGCAGTTACGTGAGCAACTGACGAAGCCCGGCACTCATGACTAGGCTTACGGCGACGTGCGTGCAGCTGACCAAGCAGGATAATGCGGTGGCGTGAGCATCCGGTGAAATCCGGTGCGCATGGACAGTGCAGGCTGACCTGTGAATGGACGCGAGCGGATGGCCAAATATGGCGCACCGTAGCGAATCAGCCGGGTAGTACGCGACCATAACGGGTGAGGCCAAATCTCAGGCTGTTGGAAGAAAGCGATGCCAGTATTGGAAAGAATGTTTGACCTAGAAATATAACCGTTATTTAAGGCAGAATATGCACCGCCAGCCGAGTCTTGCCTTTTGATTTGTTCGCAGGATTGGAGCACCAAGCAGTGGGTACCGAAAGCTAGCAACACAACATTTACAACGGAAGAAGCAGTAGTTGAAATGAAGAATAACTGTAGACGAATGGAGTTGAATTTGCTCACCGTGCAAAGCATCAACCTGACGGGGCAGTCTCCACATTCGGGCAGACATCTGCCTGGGATCTGTCAGGCACATTGGACGCCTGCTGTACGATGAGCCGTGTAAGCTATGCACCCGACGAAATCTCCTAGCTGGTTCTGTAACAGCAGCCCGACCTGCGAAGCTAGAACAATGTCGAGTGTACACAGCATGATGAGCCAACGCACTGGCGGCAAGACTGGGAGATGTAGGGGATGCCCGTGTTTCTTGCGGTCCCTCTTCACCGACGAGATAGGGGATGAAATAGTTCAGAGTAGCCTCCAAAGACTGTAGATGGGAGACAAGGGGCAGGAAGAGGCGAGAAGGACATGAAGTAATGGATGATCTATATGCTAGTACACAGTAGGAGCTTGTTTGCGTATATCGGCGTGTTATAAGTTTAAGGCAGCTTGAAGGGGTGGAACACTTGGGGCGCAGGTTGGTTCAATGACAAGAAAGACAAGACATTTCCAATAGTACAAAAAACCGCACCTCAGGTCAGCGGAAGGTGAACGTGGGCGAGAGAAGATTGCGACGGAAACGAGCAACTCCAAGACAAATGTAATAGTTTTCACTTGATATGGGAACCGCGAATGGTCGGTGAATATTACTGACTCCTGTAGCTACAGTGACCGATAAGTCTGCGACCATTACGTTCACGGGTGAGCGAAGCAGAAAGTTGGTGGAGAGGTTGAGGAGCTTCACTTCGTACGGGTACGCTTTACATATTTTTTCTTGTCTGGAACATGAAAAAGCGCAATGTGTGTTGAAAACACTGAAGATACTGTAGAAGAACCCCGCATGCCCTATCCTATGATACGTTCGTTACACTCAATGATACCCTGGCTGTGATTTCTACTACTATTTACCCAACTGTTGCCACTGTCCCAACCCAAACTTTATGTGCGCTGGCTCTCAAATCAGATTCCGTGATCCGATGTCAACTCAAGTGTACGTTCATTTGCACTTGGAGAATTAGTCACGTCGCATGCAATTGCTCACACGTTGACTTAATGATTGCTTCATATAGTCCAGCCCCAGGTGTTATCGGTGCTCTGGAGTGTTTCAATCGCTATCCCCTTGTGCCATTTGCACACTGATGTGTACGTCATGTTGTTACATTGATGCGCCATCAGCGCGTGTTACACCGCAGCAGTAGTGACCTCATGACATGGCATTGTTGGTGTGGATGGAGGTTACACATGAAAACCATTTGGTTCGTTCCCCCTTCTCTATGCAAAATTGAACCTTTCACAATGCCAGACCGTCACTGTGTGTGGGCAACGCACAGATGCAATGCTCACAACCCAGTGTAACCTCAATTTGGTTGGTCAATAACCTTAACCGATTTGAGGTAAAAGGTAGCGTATCGAGACGCCGCTAGTTTGTTCTACGTGTGATTTTTTGAGTGAATTTTGAGTGAATTGAAAGCTGTTGATTTAAGTTTGTGTTGGAAGCACAGATTGTTAAGGTAGGACATATTTGTTGTTGCCAATTGCTTGTAAACATTACGGTTATCCGGTGCTGGCTTTGTTGTTATTAATTCCGCAGGAAATGCATTAACTCAAGGGTTCCAAGCGGTTTGCCGCCTTCGAATTGGCATACAAGACCGCGGCTCTAGAAACCACATCTCCAGTTATACAAAGTTGATCGGGGTTCCGACCGTATAACGAGTATGACGTTAAACAGCACAGGTCCTCTGATTTTTAGCACTCTAACAGAAATAAACTAGCTTCGAGAAACGTTTCTTGCGAAACACCGAATTAACCACATCAAATCAACTAACCTCAGTAGTATTCTCTAGGTACCAATCGAAACTTTGGACTATACACAACATATTCAACACAGCAATAGATTGGTTGCTCGTTCACGAAGCCAAAGGACGCGTTACGAGCTGAGACACGGTAATGTCAAATATACGACCATTTCATGAATGACGGTTCACTTGGTGGGACGCAGTTGAATACCTAGTGCCGCAACACGGTCTGACGGACTACATCGCAGTCAGTGGCATATAAGAATGAAACTACAATTTAAAACTGGTCGAATATTTCAGTTTCGTTCAGTGCAAACGAACATATAATTGAGTTGACATCAGATCACAGAATCTGGATTGAGAGCCAGAGTACACAACGTTTGGGATGGCACAAAGAAAGGGGTTGGGCAAAAGGTAGGGGAATCATAGCGAGGGGAAGATTAGACAGGACGAAGTATCACAGTATAAGACAGAATTCTGCTACAGATTCGTCGCAGTTAACAACGGGTGTCACCGGAATACAGATTCGATCGGGTGGGGTGCAGAACGAATGAAGTTGAAGTCCGTCAGTTGTGGATCGACAATTGAACCCCTACTGTCGCATTGTATCGTCTGGTGTATTTGTTAGGATCAGTGAACCTTAAGGGGACCGGAATTCAACCATTCTCCAGTAATTAAGTAGAATACTCGCAATAGTCCGTGAAAACAATGTTCTCGGATAAGTTAATACAATTAGGAGTAAGTAAAGAACAGATGAGACCGAAGAACATTCAAGAAGGCCAGCAAGAACCCATAAATAACGGTAGTATGAGCCATCGTAATTTTCTCGTGTATGGCGTCCATTAAACCACACCTGCGACCTTGCCTTCTCGATCGACCAGTCGGAGGAGACGGGTTTTTTTGCATAACAATCAAAGGGGCCCGGTGTGATTTTGGCGACCATAACATTATTCGCGTCACCAACGACGTCCAGGTCATCTGTATCAGATGCTCACTGATCAATTACCCATACCTGTATTATGCACTGTTGCAGTGCATGATTGCATGGAGAGCTGAAGTGATCAGTTGGTTAGCTAGATATGGTACACAAAAAGGCACACAGAAGGGCTGAAGTGGTATGCGTCAGCTTCTTTGTTGAGAGCCTCAAGATAGGTGATAGAAGTGACTGGGAACCTTCGTCGACAGGACCCAGAGCTACGGAACGAGGCAGTGGTCATGTACAAAAACATCTGCTTCATTAAATCTGTTCCCGTGATTTCGCCTGCTACTTTCCCCGTTCATTATCTTAATTCATCTTTCAGGGTGCAGAGAGGCATGGCAACTGTAGACACCGCACCAAGAAGCCAGGAACGCGGTCAACAGACCAAACATGCATATCGCCTAGGTAAGAGCATGGCTATTTTTGTCCATATTGATCTGAGCCGCAACAGACATAGTTTCTCGGGTCATGAGCACTATACGTATTATAAAATAATTAATTGCATGGTGTCAGTTTTCCTATATAGCTATGCCATCTGCCTGCTGTCACTGAGGATCGAGTGTGTACAAATAAGTTTAGAACGAAATATTCAAACACGTCCTAGTTGTTTCGACTTTTAGTCAGAAATTGCTTACCCCAGCTCAGCCATCGGTATTCTATTTATAATGCAAGTCGCTTTGGTACAGTCACACTGCAGTATGACTTATTACATACTTGGTGACATGCGGTATCTGTATTGGGCTTGTCTAGGATGTAAGAACCACCCCTAACTTAGTTTGTTTTGGGCTTATGTTTAGCTCGATTAAAATTCACGATCAGTACACATGTGGACCACTACATTTCCGCACTAGTCGTCACTTATGTTACCCTTGCGAAACTCATAAGTTGATTTTAGTGCGGAGACATGTCGAGACGGCGAGCTGCAGTATTTTTCTCCTAATATTATTCAGCCATGGCGTATACATTCTATAAGATCCATGATATAGCTCACCAGACAACGCGAGGACGCCTCCTATCTCCTTTTCTACTTAGATTCTGGTCGTTAAAATGGTTTTACATAGTACATGAACTTATCTTGATCTGATGCTCAATATTAGCATGACGCTTATAGAGATGGTGCATCGCATGATAACTATTTCGAGTACCAATGACCATATCCGCACTAGATATGTGTACATATGAGTCAGGTGAAGTCATTTCACTGGGCTTTCGAAGGACTTGTCTTCTTGGTACGAACCTGTTCTGCAAGCGCCAATATTTGCAGTACGTTGTTCAGTTCTGTTCGAATCGTTTTACGTGCGGTGAATATGCGTAGATCAAAGCCTCCAAGCGCTTGCCACATACAGTGCCCAAAAGCCAAACTTCCTCGCTTTGGAGTTAAATTTGCAATTTGGCGTACATGGCCACGCCAGACCATGCATCCTAAGAAAAATCACCCTAGAGAATGCGTACAAAGTGAACTACCTCAGTACTCAACTAGCAATTATCATGATGTAGATGTTTCATGCGCTGGTTCACAGGTTAGTCGTGAGATTAAGTGTAACAATATTTATCGTCGTCCGTTTGCCATACTGAACTTAGCTGAGCTTATTAAAAGGCAGTTACTATAGAAGTTAGAGGCGTAAATGAAGAGGGTTCTGATAGTAGTCGAAGTAGAAAATAACCAAGCTTCGGGTAGGGTCAGTTGCGATGAATATTCAAGTTGAAAGCAATCAGCGCACAACTGCCATTGTTGAGTAGCGTCGAATGGATGCACCTCAGATTTACGATCACAGATTCACTTTCAATAGCTTACTGCCACAGCAGATTACACAGATAAACTTGCCGAAGGTTGAGTTGAGTTGCATTGATAAACTTTGGTCGGAGCACCCAAGTGCGGTGCATCCAGTTGCCATGATTCACATCGCAAGCATAACAATAAATAAGAACGGAAAGATAGTGGGGTCAAAAGTAAATAGAATGCAAAGTAAACGGAAGCAAAAAATGCGTTAAATTAATCAGGGTGGAACGAAAATTAACAACCAGATGTGTGATGGGGGCTGGAAATGCTGTAATGTCAATCGAACGTTACAGACCAGACCGATAGGAAGTGAGCATGTTGCCGGAAGCAGATTGGTCAGCCAATCAGGAAATAGTTGTCTCGGGATCGCGTCCAACCTGCAACCATCCACTGAACGTGCAAGTGACCAATCAGGCGCCAGCAGGCGAATGAGCGCATACTCGTACACTCTTGAGTTAAGATTTGTGGCATTGACTGATTGAAGAAGCGCGCGGGCCCAATCCCGCCAATCGTATATAGACTAAGTAAGTCAAGGTGATTTTAGACAGAGGGAACGTGGTGAGCAAACATAAACTAATGGAAAAGGAGCCAGCGACACAATGCGAACAACAGGGATGAGCCATTGAAAAGGACTGTTGTAAATAGTGTATATACTCTATAAATATTCGAGCGTAATCTTAATAAACAACTTCGTGATCGCATCCCAGTCTTCTTGCTTTCCGGAGGGCAACATGACATGGTGACAAAGGTGCTGAGGTACCAAATCCCGCTCG